GGGGGGGGGGGGGGAAGTATGCAAATGCCCACATGGAAAAACTAAGAAGTGTACTTTTTCGCACAAAGCACAGCCTTGCTTTGTCTCGTCGGACACCGGGATGTTTACTGAAGCAGGATGTCTAGATACAGACATTTACATGAGGCTCTTAATTGTGTCACACTTGAGCTGAAACCAGTAATGTCCCGGATACAAACAGGATGTTGAAGGTGGGATCTGTCTGCCCATGAAGGAACAAGGGTAGGTGCCATGCTTGTGCCAGAGCACGCAGCCTTCAGCAGGACAACTGGGCCTGTGCTCGGCAAAGCCCGTAATTCCCACAGCCACCGCAGCTGCTCCCAGAACACAGGGACTTCACAGAGACCATGCTGTGGCCAGGCAGGATGCGGGGCATGCAGCCACCAAGCTCAGAAATGTGCAAAGCTGAGGCCACGTTAAAGAGTGACTCAGTATAATAACCGTCTCCAGGGACCCTTGGCTGCTCCGGATATGGATGAACAGCGATCGCAACTGCACAAAAGCCTCAGCAGAGACATTTGCTCAGAGCACTTGTGTGGCAAAAGAAGCAACTACTTGAAAAGGAAGCAGTTGATTGTATTTCCTCTCTCTGTTTGATAACTGGGTTGGGCTTCTGACTCAGAAATTTTTCCAGACTGAATTCCTTGTTGCCCCTTGTAGCATTTGTTGTAAGGGTATCTCCTTTTTTTCCCCACCTCTACAGGGGATGCTGAGCAGAGAACCACAGAGCCAGGCTGGCTTTAACAGCCAACTGTCAGTGGAAACAGCACACTAATGGACTAACCTTAGTGACTGCAAAAGCTACCTCTTGTCAGCAAGCTCACAGACAGCCCAGCCTAATGCTCCTTCTGCTGTAGGAGCACGCATCTGTAGACACTGTCCTTTGGCTTTATCAGGAGTGAACTGAACCCTTGTGCTAAATCCTGCTTCACATCTGTGCTTTCTCCAGGGCAGTGGGACAGCCTTGGAAACACCCAGATGCAGGCCTCTCCAGACAGATTGTGGAAGGGTCACTGCTGCTTAAAACAACTACCAAAATGAGTTGAGATGCCAAGCAGGTTCCTCAGCATCATTTTGTTTTGGCAACGTAGCTGTTACTCCAGTGCTTTTATTGCAGAAACCAAACTGTTGCTTGAAGCTCAATGCCAATCCTTTTATTTTGACTCTTGGGTGGAGCAATTAGCAGTTAGATATGACTGGCAATGACCAGCAGGACTCACCCTGTCCCATCTATAAAGGACTTGAGCAGAGCAGCAGGTATGAGGTCAAACCCACACAACTGAGCTCTGTTCCCAGTGAGGCATCACATGCTATATAAGCTTCCTGAGCTGCTGGCCTCTGCTGTAGTATTTCAGCCAGTAAAGCTGCAGATACTTTACAGTCTTTGAAGAGATGTGGGCAATGATAAAGTATGTTTGTGTAGCAGAAACAATCATCTGATCTCTGAAAAAAAGGGGCCCTTCCAGGATATTCCCATAGCTTGACTTTTCTTCCTGCTTTTTTTACAGTACAGCACGTTTTGGCATTGCTCTTTGGCTGCAGAAGCTACATTTTGGTGGTGAAAGCCACTCAGGAGCAAGAATTAGTCCAGTGTGTGTAGAAGTTAGTGTGTAAAAAAGCCTGTTCGTTCAGTCTTAAAGCCAAAGCATGACCAGAGCCCTCTCACCCAAAGTACAGCCCAGCTAATTACTACCATGATTTAAGTTCTGCTCGTTTTTATCTCATTGCACTTAGGACTTCAGATAGTCCTGACACTGCATGAGTGTTAGGAATGAACAGCGGCCAGCAGGACATTTGGTGCTGAATAGGAGCATCATCTGGCTCACTGCGTTCAGAGGAAACATGTATTTAGGTACAGGAGAATGTTAGCTAGCAGCTGAACCCCGCTGTGCCCGCTGCACTGTCCTCCTTCCCGTATCCTTAAGCCTTCCCAGCATGCCTGCTTCTGTGCATCTCCCACAGATGAGTATCTCTGAATAAGTTTCTCATGTGCTGCATTTTGAGGTTTGGTTTCAGTCCCTGTATCCCAGAGCCATTAAACACTAGCAGTTCCTCTTTAGATGCCCCAGCATGGACAGTCTGTCAAACCAGCCAGGACTAACTCTAAGAGAAAACTATTAAGACATTCAGCTGGTGTTAGCCAAAGCTCTGAAACACGCTCTAATGTTACAGTCAGAGTCTCCCCTTACAGCGAGAACAAGGCCGGCTCTCTCTGCACTTCCACATTCTGCACATTCCCCAGCGCAGGGGCTGGTTTCAGCCGGGGCAGAGGAGCGGCTCTCAGGTTACGCAGCGCAGTGCTTGGCTCCTCCGTGTCCCACACCTGTCAGAGGGGTTTGCCTTTTCCTGGAAATAGCCTCCCTCGCAGCATTTGAGGCACGGCACAATTGGAGGTAGTTCATTCGATGCTCCTGGGAGACAACACTGAGAGGCTCAGCTGTTCATTTCTTGCCCTCCCACAATACATGAGAAGGAGAGCGCTCAACAAAGAGAGTCTCCCATCTGCTGATTCATGGTAACACAGGAATCCTTTCTCTTGTAGACGGTAGTGGCTGTGGTACAAACAGTGCTATCAGCTGATGCAGTCAGAGCTTCCCGGAGACACGATAAAGAATCTGGGGTGGGCTTCTAAAAAAAAACAAACCAAAACCACAGGCTGCCCCTCTGCCTTTGGGCTGATGCAGAGTACACAGCAGGTCACGGGGCAGTCCCCCTGCCACAGCACCCCTTCTCCACTGTCGCTGCCTCCTGTCCTGCTATCAGCTGCCCACTTAAGGGCCCCCCCTCCCAATGACAGCATCTTCCAGTGCCTGTGTTAGCAAGCAGTTAGTATGCACGTAGTGTGCTCAGGCCCTGTATGAAACAAGATGAACATTTATCACCAATTATACAATCAGGCCCTGCTGGAGAGAAATCACCAAATCAGAAAAGCCAGAGAGGACCTTTCTTTCCAGAAGCATGTTTCCTCCATTAAGAAAATGTTCAAGCTCTGTAATCAGAGTGGACTGGAAAGACATGGACTCATTTTGTTTCACAGAGCTGTCAATGCAACTTGACTCATTACATTTATGTCTTTGAGAAGCAGCAGTACCTAGCAACAGACTACAGCATCCACCTGGAGCACAGGACATGGAGGAACCAGGAAAAAAGACTTTCAGTGCTACAAAGGCCAAAGCCTTAGGACCTAAAAGGAGCTCAATGACTTTGACTTGGGCCAATCCATCCACAACCCTTCTGTCTCCAGTAACGTGGTGCTTCACTAGTCAGCTTCAGGACAGCAGGCAGAAGGGGAAGATGCTTAAGTGGAGATTACTTTTGTTATTCTCCTTGTGATACAAGGGGTGTAACAGGGACAGACTATGCCCAGTTTTAGCAGCTCCATGCAGAAGTTCCAGGAAGGATTTAAAGCATCACAGACTTGTTGCCTTGAAATTAACTCTGCCCCATGACTCAGACTGGGCAGCGCAGAAGGAACATTGCAGTGCTGTCATTTACTTACTGGGTCAGCCAGAGGCCAGGGGTTGTCTTGGAAAAAGTTTCAAAGCATCATTTTGGCCACTGATTCTGAGGACTTCCAGAAGCGCTCATGAAATTCAGCACAAATCTGAGCACTCACAGGTCCTGTTTTTATTGTAGGGGAATCCACAGCACAGACCAAGAAGGAAACACCAGCACTCTGCAAAGCCCTGTGCCTGCGAGGAGCTCTGCAGATACACTAGCTCCAGTTTGTTTCTTTTTTTTTTTTTTTCTTTTTTTTTTTTTTTTTAAATGTTGCAGAGCGCAACTAGTTAATAAATTGTACCCTTGTGATTCCTTAGCAAGGCTCTACACTTCCACTGCCCACCTCCCTGCAGTAATGCTTTGTGTGGGAGAGATGCTACTTGTACAGTTTAGCCTTGTCACTCAGCGAGGGACCATCTGCACCAGTAGACAGAAACTTGGCCATTGCAGGCAATTTCAGCTGCAGCTTCTTGGACCAGGAAACCCTTAAACTCAGACAGTATTTACACTTGTAGCCTATACTGTTGCCATAACAGCTGACTTGAGCACTGTTTATATATGGATTCTACTTAAGGGCAGCTTTAGAAGTTAAGTAAAACTCAAATGTCTCATAAATGTAGCATCTTTAATAGGGTGAACAACTCAAGGGAATACCTAGCAAGGGCTAATGAAGTGCTTTAGAAAAGGGTTGCAAGGTCCAGATTTTTCTGTTAGACAGTAGTGACTGCAGGGCAGTTCTAGTAGCATGCAGTTATGGCATTTAGTGCAGTTACATTATTGCAGTTACACCATTTAGCCCAGGATACCTTGTGGCTGCTCTCTGTACACGAGTCTGGGCGGGTAACAGAGTTGGGGGAGTCTCACAGACTGGCCCTTGGCGGACTGCACAGGGCTGTTACTTGGAGATACTCTGCTCTGGTTAGTGTCGTTCTGCTTTCCTTTCTAGAAGAGCAGAGATACAAAGATTTACTTCAGTGAGTACACCACCACTTTTTAGTTCAGCGTAGATCTTCCACTGAAATCTCCCCCTCTGGCCACAGTAAGGGAGGTAGAGGTGCAAAGCTTAACAGATACTTCATTCCTGTTACAGACACAGCATTCCAATAGGACTGCATGCCAACCTCTCCGAGGGCTCTCCTGTATGTGAGGTGCTTAAGACAAACTCTTCTCTGCTCAATGAAGATGGATTCTTCCACGGGAAAATGGGATTCAGAACAGCTCTATCAAAAGGTCTCCTGAATATGTCAGAGGTAGGAGAAGCCCCATACAACTGTGCAACTTGCTTTCCTGATACAGACCAGCCTGCACTTACACCAGCACATAACAGCTGAAGACCCTTCCCCATTCCCAGCTTTGAGTAAGCTTAGAGATGAATCTTTGCTGTGTTGCCTGGGCAGCTGAAACTGGCTTTCTGGGTCCTGGGCCTAATTCTGCCAAAGGTTCTGCAGCATTTCAGTACTCATTCCTCCCTGCTTAAGTGCCTGCACGTGTTAACATCCTGTTAACTACTTATCTGAGGGGGCAGAACAGGCATTAGAACAGATAATTATAGAGAACCTAGAGATCAGTGAAAGGAAAATGCCAGAGAAGTGCTCAGTAGGCAGTAGGCTTTTCATCACCTTGTGAGAGGCTTCCATTCTCGAGGAAGATGCTGGTTTTGCCCCATGAGCAAGGATGTATTCAGGGGATCAAAACTGCCTACAGAATACAAGCACCCATTTCATTTTAAAGGGAAACAAGTGTTCAGACATCCTATGCATTTTAGAAAATGCCAGTATCAGCACCATCCACATAACCAACACCATAAAGGCCCCACGCCCAGGGGAGGCTCTGGGCACCCAGCAGTACTGCGTGTCCGTTCACACATCACAGCACTTTGTGCTTCCCAGGGCCAGGTCCAAGTAGCGGCCAGCAAGGCCTCCAGCAGCCCCCCATGAGCCCCCCGTGCTCTCCTGATCCCACCTGCTGACAGATCTTGCTCTGACCCTCCTCTGCCACGCAGGTGAAGCAGGAGCTAAAAGCCCAGGTGGAGCTGTTCCGTGAGCTGACGGGTCACCTACCTCCTCACATGGACGGGCACCAGCACATCCACGTCCTCCCAGGTAAGAAGGGAGTCCTCTTCCTCCCAGCACTGAGCAGGTGAGGGAGTCGGAGAGAGCTCAGATGGGACTTGCTTTGCCACGGCTCCCTGTTTAGGCAATAAACCTGAGAATTCACCTCAGCATCCTAATTCCATGCTGCTGCCCACAGTGACAGAGGCAGACTGGGGCCAGCACCAGACAGGCCAGTTTAAACTGGAATGCTTGAGTTTGCAAAAGCTGGTAGTTCTTTCAGGTGCTACAAGAACACCACCCTGTCATGTTTCCAGACCAATCTCTACAGCTCTCAGCATGCTTTATGGAGATGGGCATGTATCTTTTGTCCCTGTTTTGCAAATAAGGTCATTGTGGTACAGAGTGAGCAAAAAGTGAGAAAAAAAATCCAAATTTCCCCACTCCAGCACTCTGGACAACATTGCTCTTGGCAATTTACCCTCACAACAAATCTGGCTGTGCAGGGGCTTGATGAAGAACTTGTTCCTGACAGTGCAGTCACCTCTGGTGCACTCCAGGACCAGAGTCACTAACCTTCAGGGGCTGCTGGACTCAGTGCTGGAGGGAAGACGAGGCACCTCTAGCAGATGTTGAGGGAGTAATGCTCTTGGTATAGAAGGGGACTCCTGGCCCAGTGAAGAAAACCATTTCAGCAGAAGATAAACCAAATGGGATTATATTTTCTTACACATGGAAAGGAAAGACATCTCTGTGTTAACAGCTTGCAGGGGACATGCTGAGCTGGTTATCTGATTCCTGACTACAGCTCTCTGTTTTCCTTACAGAGGTCAGGCACGTATTTGCAGAGGTGTTAGAGGAATATGGCATTAAGTACACACGTGTCCCAATAGAGCCAGGCCTTCATAACTGTGACTGGATTCCACAGTCCCTGATGGATTTTTATCTGGGAGTAGAAGAAGATTCTTTTAACACAGTCGATGTGTTTACAAGGCATGGAATAAGGTAAGACAGGCATTACTCACCCTTTCTGTAGTAAAGCTTTAAGATCTTATCAGTTCCTGATAGCATCTTTTCAGAATGGAACACCACCTTTCTCCTTCCACTTTGGGGCTTACAAGGAAGTTTAGGAGTACAAAAGTGCTGGGGGCACTAGGGTTTAGTAAGAAGTTTTGTTTGAAGAGATGACTCACTTCCCACCTGACAGGGATTGCTCTTTTCGGGGTGGGTTTCTCAGACTTTCTAGTGAAGCTGCTTTAGCCTGGCAGCTGGGATGGGAGGAGGCTGAAGTGCTGTATCACCACTGGAATTTTAAAAGTATGATCTAGGGAAATTTTTCAAGAAATAACTTTCCATCTTCGTGGAGGAGTGGAGAAAGGGTTTTAAGTAGCAGGAAAGAGACTAATTAGAAACAAGTGTTGTTAAGGGGAGGCAGCTCAGAGAGCTTTCAATGCCCCAGCAGGGGACTGCTGCTCTAAGCAAAGTCTTGCCAGTGACCTGCACCTCAGGGTCCAAACCCAAAAAGCTCAGCCCTTCTCCCAGTAACATATTTTTCCTAAAATCTCAGACTATTTTATGGATTAAAGCCATTTCATTTGAGACCCCTGCAGTCACCTGTCCTTTGGGGCAGATTTCATTACTTCCTAAGAACTGAAAAAGTTCTTGGATTTTTTTTGGTATGTTGTTCCGAACACTGGCAGCAGGCTGGCATTTCACTGTGCCCTTTCCCACTGGAGCACACAGACTGCTCGAACAACCCATTTCTGAGGAAGAGATGGGCACAGCAACTCACAGAGCAGTTGATCAGGAGAGAGTAACCCTCCTTCCAGGGCTTTCACGACAGGGACGCTGTGGGGGAGTGTAGTGGCAGCCCCGCACGCTCCAGGGCTCCCCACGCCACCGAAGGGGCAGGGCTGGTGTCGGTTTACCTCCGAGAAGCCGCTGGGGGCGCAGGGAGGAACCTGTGGGGCCGTCCCTGGGACCTGTGTGTTTACACCCACCGCCACAGCAGGCCCTCAGCTGCAGCCACTGGGACACACACCACGCTCCACCTCGTCCCCTGGCATCAGGGGAGTTGAGGAGGGACAGGCTACTACAAAAGAAATGTGTAACACGAGGAAACCTAGGAAAGTTAGAAGAGTGGGGTCAGCTGAAGTCACAGGGAACCCAACTCTGCAACTCAGTTTCAGCATCTGTGCAAAGAGGTACCACACTGAGCCCCACGAGTTGATTTATCACATGGAGAGTGCAAGACTGTGCTTACTGCCTAGCAACAAGGCAAGATGAGACAGTTTACAGTTAAAAAAAAGTCAAAACTTCTTTTTCTAAGTAAATCCTACACTCTTCTCAAGAAGAGCTGAGTGTTCAGCTAGGCTCTTCCTTGATCACGCAAGTCAAGACTCCAGCCTTGGTTTCTTCCAGGAACTTTCTCATTCTGCCCCTGCATACACTTGCACAGGCCCCCCCTGGGCTTGCACGTGCCACGCTGGGAGAACTGAGGTTTGTAGCCAGACTTGAACAAAGAATTGTGTTGAAGCTACATAAGAAATGGCCTCTAGCTGGTGTCCATTGCCTCATCTTTGGTCCAGTGTTTTGTCTTTATTATGGCTCTTCGGTACATTCTAGCAGAATGCTTTGATAGCAGGGGTTTCCATTTTATTTCAGTCACTTTTTGTGTTTCCAAACAGCTGAGGGTCATTATCTAGAGATGGTTATTATTCAGGGTTTAATTAGCCTAGCAATAGTAAGTTGTTTGACAGGTGGCATTTCTCGGTTTAGCTCTGCTCTTCCTTTTTGTGCCAACAAAATGCACCTGCAAGCTCACAGATGCCGAACAACCCTTGTGCTGTCGCACAGCACACGTAGATACAGTAACAGCAGCAGTGCTGGTACTGGGGCTTTCTGTCAGGCTGAAGGACAGCTGCTTGAAACAGTACCCTGGTTTCAATAGGGAAAGAAAAAGCATTGCCAGCTTGCAGTTCTGATTTTACTTTTGTTTATAGTTAAAAGCTTTAAAATCCACCCTCACCTTTCTATCTTAAGTTTTAGGTAAATTTTGATTCCCAATCCACTAGACCTAACACACTCTTTTCTAACCACCTTGTTAGCATTAATATAAGTGTTCCCTCCTCTGGGTGCAGGTGGCCAGACATTTACATAGGTCTGAGCACCATGGGCAAGAACATGTCCGTCAGTACCATCTGGAGCGCCATCGATGCCGCCATGGCGCAGCTCCCCTCCGAGGCACCCACAGCCCTGGCGCCGCGGCGCGGGACCGTAACGATTGAACTGATGGTGCACCCGGGGTACCCCAGCGTCCCACCCGTTGGCGGCTGTGGGGAAGGCCCGGATGATTTCTCTCAGTCCTGGGAGCGCCTCCATGAACTCCAGACGTTAATTAAGCCAGAGCTGCAGAGCCAATACAAAACCAGGAACATTCAGCTTTGTTCGTTCAAAGATCTTTAAGTAAACAAGCGTATGTACGTGCAGTTACCCTACTCTGAAGACAGGCAGTTGCTACCATCCTGAGAAAGCAGACCGCTGTTATCAGTGTGATACCCCGGTACAGCTGAGAGGGGCCGGAACAGCCTGGGGATGGCATCAGGATGTTCACAGACGAGCAACAGGCTGTGAGCAGCTACAGGCCCCAGAGCCTCGCGTGGCAGTTCTTAGGCCACAGTATCTGCTCTGAACACGACAAACCTCTTCTGCGTCACCCCTCGCACACCATTCCAGTGCAGCACGGCAGCCGAGGGCCGGCCTCCTCCCAGGGCTCAGCTCCTGTCAACGCAACACCGAGCAGCACGAAGACACTGCGAGGCTGAGGAGCACAGGGGCACCCTGAGGGTTCTGATCATTTCTCTTTTTGGACTTAACTGCAAAAAACCACGCTGGCGAGCAAGTGCTGCTTTGGAGCAACCGCTCGGTGTAGGCTGCCCATGGGACACCTGGCAACCTTCTGCATGCGGTTTCCTGAAAGCACGTGGTGGCGGTCCCTTGCCCTGCCCATGGGTGGCAGGGGCGCAGGGGCCTGTTCCCTGCGGAGCGTCTCTGCTCAGAGCAGTCAGGGCGCGGGTTGAGTGTGGTGGTCTCTGCTGCCATATCCCACCCATCGCTCAGCCAGCGGCAGTCATGGCTCTTCCTACTGACACTGCCTCTTGGCATTGAGCCACAACAGCAAAAGGAACATCAGCCCCAGCCCTTTCAGAGAGGCTTTTCTTTTTTATTTTTTTGGATGACTTTGCAAGAACAGCAACTGTTGACCCATCTGCTATTTCAGGAACTGCTGTGTATGAGAGCTCACCAGCAACTGTTCCTGCACTGCCCAGTGCTTCTCACAAAAGATGCGTGGGATGGCCATGTACCAACTCCGTGCAAGTTCCAAGTGCAGAAGGTCCTTGTATTTGTCCATTTTTATTCCTGCCGTCAAAGCATTCAAACTTCCACAAGCCCTGGTAAAACTATGATACGTTTAACTGTGTTCTTAACTGTAGCCCTGTCACATATAACTTTCACATGGGAAAAAAATATTTTCGATTAATTGTGCTAATTTTCAGCGCAAAAGCGCTCTGTTTAATGTAATCAGTTTTGGTTAATAATTTTTTAAAATATTAAACATTTCAATATGATCATCATTCTTTTAAGTGAAAAATAAACTCAGGCCTTTTTCTACTGTAATGCTTCAGGAGAGTTTTGGTTTTAGTGAGAGCTGGAGAGCAAAGGAACCCACTCACCTGCCTGCTCCTCCGGGGCTACCCGCGGGTGCTGGAAGGGCACCTCTTCCTATGGTCAATGGGAACCGTCTGACCTTCCCTCTAAAACTGCTGAGGAATTGTTTTTTCTGTACAAATATGAAAACCAACATCAAGGGTGCTTTAGAAAACATTTTTCCAGGTTCCTTCCTAAATTATTGTCACAGAATTAATTTGATGTTTCTCAAAGTCTGCACCCAGCATACTGGGGAAGCGCCGCGCCCCCCGGCCGAGTGAAACAGGAGCAGGCAGGGGTCACCGGCTGCAACAACTCTGTTTCTGAAGCTCGTCCCAGCGGCATTTGGCGGCAAAGTTCCTGCTGTGTGATAACAGAGAGTAAAAAACCCCGAGACACTTAGACCTGCCGGAAACGGCTGCAGTTCCAGAGCACAGAGAGACCCGTAAGTGCCATCTAGTGACCGATGATACTTTATTCTCATGCAGGGATAAGCCTGACAGCAACACCGGTTGCTTAATACCAGACCTCAGCATTTTACGTAACGTGACCGTATTTTGATGGATACTTTTTACCCTTATTTTCAACGTTTAAATTGCTCCATATGCTAACTGATAAATTTGCTCTGATCACACCCATCGGGGCATTACACACCTGCTGGCAGTTGTTTGCATTTTCTGCCAGCTGAACACTGGAACCACGACAGCAGTTTTACCTGAGTTCTGTATTGAAGAAAAAATATATTTTGAAAATTCTGTATTTTTAAATGAACAGCCTTTAACCCCAAATTTTCTTTTAAATGCAAGAGAGTTCCGAGTGAAGAAATTAGTAAAGAATTACCAAAAGACTACTAAATAGGGAACCTTTCAATTGCATAAAACGTACGGAGGTAAGGAAGCTTCTTGGTGGTTCTGTGAAAGCTTTAAAGGCAATACTGAGTTCAAATTAAAACCACCTTCAGACCACTACCTACAAATGTCATTGTACCAGGTTACTTAGACTTCTTTTCCTAAACCCCAACTCTCTCTGAAAAGAAATCCATGCCACAAAGCCTTTGAGAGCAATTTTTATTAGGGTAGCAGAATGGAATTGCAGAAAGCCTATACCAGTACTCCTGGGTGTAGTTTCACCAGTATGTTGTTTTTATTTTGGATATTAAACTGCATGTTTAGAATTCAGCATGGCTTAGGGAACCAGAGAGAACAAGAGCTTGATTTCCTGAGTTAACATAGGACTTTGCGCTTTTGATTTTTTTTTTTTTTTCTCCTCAGACTTCAACCATACAGTACAGGATTTGATCTGTCTTTTTTTTCCAGAGGGCTGCCTATGAACAAAAGCCATCATTTAGGTTTCACATCTCGTAGTTTAGAAACTGAACTCTGAAGAACACACCAAGAGAACCGACAGCAGTATCTGTCTTCTGTGTGACCTCTGCAGATGAAAGGGGAAGGGCTGGTGCAGCACTGCTGCAGGCCTGTACCCACCGAGTGGAGCTCCTGGAGTCGCACGGCTCTGCCCGCTCCCTTCCCACAGCATCCAAGTCACACCGATTCAGATAAACGCAGTCTTTGCCCTGAGAGGCTTACAACCAGAAAGTAAACTAGTTAGGAGTAACAAGGGCAGCAAACTAGTGCTACAGGTTTTTTTCAAATAAAATTTAGAGAATGGCAAGTTTCCATGCCAACAGACATGATCAAAAGGTACAGTGACTCATGTGATGCAGAAGTTACACACTTCAGTTTGACAGATAATTTGGCATTATTTTATTATGAATCCAAGTGAGCGTGAATGAAACAAAATCAGTACCAACTTTCTGCAAATGACGACACAAAGATGTGAAAATTTGGTAATAGACAGTGCTCTCACAAGCCTGAAAACACTTAGGAAATGCAAATTTCCGTAAATAAGGTGAACGTGGTTTAACTTTATTTACCTGCCAAAGAATCTGTCTAAGAACACTTAAACATAAAATTTCTTAGCTCCCTAACTTATAAAAAAAATTTACTTTCAACAGAGGTGAGGTACTGGGCTGTCATTGTTTACACTAAATTGGAAATGAAAGCTGGAGGGATGAGAGGGATGAATGAAGAAATAGCAAATATACAAGACATTAAAACCAAAAGAGACCTACCGCTCGACACGCTAGTTCTGAAAGGTTGCAAAGGCAGAGGCTGTATTAAAACTGAATTGAGGAGTACAGACAACCCCAAGGGTGTGAGGGATTTTCTAACTCGCTTCCTGCACATCAAAATGATATGTGCTCCCAGATACCTGTGGATTTCGGGAGATAAATCTGTTTGCTCAATAGCATACTCAAGTTCAACAGGCGGGGAGGAGATGGCAGTTTGATTGTGTGGCAGTTTGACTGTGGAGCTACGATCACGCTTCAGACTGGGGAAGAGAGACAGGCAGTCAGGGGAAAGCAAGAGCCGCAGTAAAGGATGCTCAGTTCTGAACAGAAAGGGCTGCCTTCAGCATGCGTAGGTGTGCCCTGCAGCAGCGGGCAGAGCGCTGCCTGGTTAAGTTAGAATGATAGAATGATACTTGAAGTACTCATTAAATCATCTAACCCGTGTGTTTTTAAAACAAAGGACGAGCAGTAGCGAGGCGTTCTTTGTTACAGGTTATTGCTTAATCCTGGTCTCATACCATCTTCAGTGAGAACTGTACAGCAGTCGGGCTGGGAAGTGGCACGAGCGCCGACCCATAAAACACAGATGTTTCTTACGCACTCTGATGGAAAAATGTTCTAAGATGACTAGCAGTGCTGTCAGATTGAGCAGTGCTGTCAGATTTAGTACTGGAATTCAAAATCAACAGTTCCAAAATACCGATTTTTAACTCAAAAGGCAGTTTATCACTTTGGTACCTCTTGGTCCCCAATTTCTGAAACTCTTCTAAACGGGTTGCAATGTTGTTCTGTGCACGTTTCCCTAGCTACTCTGCATAGCTCTTAAGAATAGACATGATAGAAATTTGTTATTCACATTCCACTACTCATTTGCTACAGAACTTTTTTTCCAAAGTTTTCCAAAAGCAGGACATAAGCCATATTTTAATTCAACAATGCACACAAAAACTTGGGTTTCCCCGTTTAATAAACATTTTGTGGTAACATCAGCCAGATTTACATAAGACCTGGACATTATTTCTGATTGTTTTTGTGGGGTTTGTTTGGTTTTTGCTTAATATGTTACAAACTGAAGTTAAGGGGAACTTGCCAACAAGTTCCACAAAGCACAGTGCAACATTTAAAAAGAAAAGTAAACAAAACTGCCAAACACTCAATCATTTTCTGCCAGAAGTGGGATTTTTTTCTAAGACATCAGTTTGAGGAGGGGGACAAAATTCAATGAAGAATCAAATGAACTCAAGATAGTGGGAACTGCAAGGAAAAATAAGAAATGACAGCCACAACCTTTTCAATTTAAGGGCAGAATATAAGTCTAAGATATTTTTGATAAATTCTGACAAGAAAAAGAAAACAGCATACTTTAAAGTATATTGAAGCAGTGATTTTTAAACAAAGAAAGCAGAACTAGAACATCTTAAATTTTAATCCTTTCTTTACAGGTTACCTAGCCCACTTTTGATTAAGAAAACTGTAGAAAGTTAGTAACAGCCACAAGTTAACACCGAAAGGTGGCACTTGTCAATTTTCCATAGAGTCCTGCTTTACGGGGTGTCTCAAATGCACTGCTCCGATCTTCTATCATACGTTGCTGACATCAATTGTGTCAGATTTTAGTCCACTGGTCGCTTTTCACCATATTTCTTTGTAAACTCTTCAGCGTTCTTACAGAATTTTTTACGGTCCTTAGAGTATTCTTCAGCTAGGTCAGCCCGAAGGGGATGCTCGGGCTGTGGATCATTCACCAGTGCTATGAGGGACTGGATTACTGTCAAAAGAAGTATAAATACCGTCAGAGACTAAAGAAGGTTAGTTTTAAAAATCAAAATGTAAGCAAAATTCCCCAGTAAAAGAGCTTTAACTGCATTTAAATACATCCCCATAAATCTAGGGTCTTTTCAAAAGCAGAGCATGAATAAGCTATAGCAAATATGCCAAGATTTAGTTCAATGACCGTGAATGAACACCAGAAAATTGTATTTGTAAACAAAATCTACTTGAATGGAGACCAAAATACACTACAAATTATTCCCCATGTAACTGGCATCCTATCTGATATTCTCCTATGGCTAAGAAAGAAACTAGGTTCCACAGACAAGCCCATCTAAAAAGGCCTGTGTAAAGATGGAATTTCCATCATGAAACATTTTTTCCTAACACCTGTCACAATGACGCAGCTATAACGGGGCCTACTTTTGGAAATGTTTTTTTCAGCTTTATTTTTCTGTGACTCTTACTTCCCCTATAAACAGCAGACTATTTTGCCCTTCATTCTAAACTGCCAAATGCATCCACTAGTAGAGATACACCAGGCAAGCAAATGGGTAAGAACTGCAAGACACTTCTCTCCCCAGTGTTGACAGCCATTTCATCACTGTTCCCTATCACTTTCAAAGGAAATGTCATTCTTAAAATAACTGAACTGTACTTGACATTTACACAGTGAACTTCACAGACTACAATGGCATTTATTGCTACATTTTCCTCATATACATTCTCATGACCATTTAAAGCAAGACAGGTCACAACAATCAGTTGTTCTTATATCCATCCACTAAAAGGTATATGTGTAACTGGGCAAGTCCACAGAAACTGCATACACAGAAAAAGCATCTCCCTGTATGACAATATTAATAATATTCTGTTGGAGGTAAGCTTGGGCTACCCAGGGGAATATAAAGCAGCACCCAAGAGTTTTTAAAGCAAGCACAACAAAACTCTGAACTTCAGACATTGCACACTACAGCCAGCTGCCTCCTCCTGAACTCACATAAACCAGCGACACCATCCAGCAGCAGGGAGTTCCACAACTCAGCCACACACAGTGTCCAAGCCAGAGTCTATCATTTGTTCTGAACCTGCTACCTGGCAGTTTAACCAGATTCTGTCTAGTTTTGCAATACAAGTTCTTACAATACATACCACTCCAACAGATGCTAGAACACCAGGGTGGGTTCTTTCAGAGCATCAGCTTTTTCACACTCATACGCTGTTCCACCCTTATGTGGGTAGGGAGGCTCTGCACAGAGACCTGGCCAGGCTGGAGCCATGGGCTGAGCCCAACTGGGGGTTTCACTAAGACCAAATGCCGGAGGCTGCCCTTGGGCCACAACCACCCTCAGCAGCGCTACAGGCTTGGGGAGGAGTGGCTGGAGAGCTGTCAGTCAGAGAGGGACCTGGGGAGGTGACTGACAGCCGGCTGAACAGGAGCCAGCAGTGTGCCCAGGTGGCCAAGAAGGCCAACGGCATCCTGGCTTGTGTCAGCAATAGCGTGGCCAGCAGGGACAGGGAGGGGATCTTACCCCTGTACTCGGCACTGGTGAGGCCGCACCTCGATTCCTGTGTTCAGTTTTGGGCCCCTCACTACAAAAAGGACATTGAATGACTCGAGCGTGTCCAGAGAAGGGCAAAGGAGCTGATGCAGGGTCTGGAGCACGGGTCGTACGGGGAGCGGCTGAGGGAACTGGGGGGGTTTAGTCTGGAGAAGAGGAGCCTGAGGGGAGATCTCATCACCCTCTACAGCCCCCTGACAGAAGGGTGCAGAGACGGGGGATGAGTCTCTGTAACCAAGTAACAAGCAACAGGACAAGAGGGAATGGCCT